GAGGCTTGGGCTTGGCTTCCCATCTCTGCGTCGCGGCCTTCAACCACGCCAAGTCCAATTCCATCTCTGTCATCCCCACCTGCTCTTACGTCTCTGTCAGTAAACCACCTTCTCTCTCTCTCTCTCTGGGTTTCTCTCAAAATTTGATCTTTATGGATTAACTTTGATTTTTTTTTTTTTTGGGTTTTCTAATCTGATTCATTTCTGGGTCCTAGTGGTGATTTTTGGCCCTGTTTGTTTCCATTCACTAAGAATTTTTTCTCCAGAACTGGAAATGGTTTGTTTCTGCCTTTTGTGTGTGTGTGTGTGTGTGTGTATGTTGCAATTTGCTTCATTGGCCTATGAGACTGTTTTTATCTGTTGTTCATTTTGATGATTAATTCATAGGGAAAACAAATGTTTTTGTGGAGATTGTTGAAAAAGTACTCTCTGGTTTTGGGTCTTCTTCTTCCCTTCTGTTTTCTATTTTGGGTTGACATAATTTCTTTTGTTTTCATTTTCTGTGTTGGCAGGACACTTTTCTCCCGCGGAACCCTTCCTGGAATTCTGTTTTGTACTCAGGACCAGGAGAGATGAAGTCTAGTATATGATTTACTGAAGTTATAGTTTAATGGGATTTAGTGAAATGTTCGTAAGCCTGTAGCTGGGTGTTCTATTTCAACTGGAAAAAAGTTTATTTGCTTTACTAATACTATATCATTTACAAATAAATGTGCACCGCTGATGTTATGGTTAACTCTGATGTGATTACATAGCAACCGTTGAAATTAAATTGGAAAATATTACAGCATGATTGGAAAGTGATAAAAGTTCCATTGGGGTTGTCGTATGAGAAATCAAGTAAAATGTAGCATTGGGAAATAATACACTTTATTCCTCAAATCCATCATACCAACAGATTACAACAACTCATATTGAACACAACTTTATGTTTTGATACATAAAATTCCGGCAAACGAGAGAATAGCGGAAGCAAGAACAAAGGCGCAGACCGATAATAACATTGTGAAATGAATTCAAGTGTTTCTTCTGACTATACAATGTATTTACAATGAAGATCATCTTTGAGGTATCAGCCAGGTACGAAATAATCCATCTTCTCCACCGGCAGATTCAGAAACGATGTCTCTATCTACATCACAACAAAAGCAAACACCAAACATTTCACAACAAAAGTAAGAAAACGTGACAACATATGATGTGTAACATTTCTTTGCTTTCAGCAGGGATTATTGAAAACTTGTCTTGGCCACAAAGGGATTTGGTTGCAGCAAGTAAAGTGAAAAAGAAGAAACACACATACCTCCTCAAACGGAACAAAGACAAAGGGTGTTAGACCCCTCTTGTGTGAGACAGCCGGCACATCTGGGTTGTGAGTCTCGTCATCCTGCCACCCTTCAACCACCCCAAGGATATCCTCATCAGGGCCACAAACCTCATTATCGTTCACACCACTTGTAACAAGTGACAGTAAATCCATCCTATTGTTTGCCCCTACTGCTGTTCCTCTTAATCTATATGAGAAAGAGAAAAGCAGAAGAAAAAAAAACTTACAAATTAGAAACTAAGCAAAAAAACACATGACAGTCTCTCCACACCATTTGAAAGCGTTATCTAGCGAGCAAACATATCCCATTTTAAGAAACGAATCTAATGGAAGTTTTTTAATATGACAAACATGCCTCTGTTAGCTCAGTTTCTTCAAAACTTATATTCTAGCGGTGTGACTATCACAATCACATTCTAACATGAGGAACCAATGGTTGCATGTGCCCATAAGTCAATCTTTAATCACAGCACTTAACTACACAGTGTAACTATTGCACCTTAAAAAAACACCCATTAAAAATACCACCTTGAGCTTATTACATAAACTGTAAGAGAGATGATAAACATGATAATAGCTTAAAATCAATGAAGGATCTACAAGCTATTGAAATACCTTAGGCGGATTCTCAACACGGTAGGGCGCATGCCTGGATACAAAACTGCAGCTTCAACCTACGAGGGAAGAGTAAAGAAAAATACTTAAGATGCAAACTAAACAATGTAGAATAGTAGTAGAATATGCGTGCTTATAAGTAGAAAATCAATAACTGGTGAAACTAAATTTTAAGTAAGACAGTCAACCAAACTTGCAGGGTAGTTAAACGGATGCAAAGAAACATAGCCTGACCTTATCATCTGAGAATGTGTAATGGCCACTGAAAACAGTGTCTGCCTTGGCTGAACGGAAATTCATGAATTTTGCTACATCCTTGAGTTTTTGAGATGAATTCTGACAGTGCAAAAAAGAGAGAAAATAGTAACAATCAGATAGAGAAAATTATCGTTAATATACTTAAATTTATTATGAAAAACTTCAGAAATTCCAACCTTGTACAGAAATCGGCCAGAAGGAAAAAATCTCATGTACCGGTAATAGCACACCTGCAAAAGCAAGAAAAAAAAAATAAAGGGATGATTGCCAACTGCTGGGAATAATTACATAAAAGACTAGCTTTGCAACTACTTTTTGTTTGACTATACGATTTCCCAGTTTCAGCTAGTGCTAAAACTCGTTGAGGCAGCTAAAATCACAAGTCACAACTAGGTTGCAAGTACTAGGATGGCAACTATGCATCCACAATGAGAATCATTTTCAAGGACCTAGGATCAAGTCATGCATTTACCAGGGAGTGGCGGTTTGGGGTATTTGGGATGGGAGAGGGAAAATACCCCATTAAACTCTGTAGCTTTGTAGGCCACTTGGCCTCCAATAGACCTAAACAAGAGAAATAAAGTAGTAATGTCCAAAACCTAATTGACTCCATGTAAAACAAGACATTGAGAAAGCATCTGGGGTGTTGAGTCCACTTAGCTGGATTTACAGATTTGCCAAGTGTAATTGAGATCTTAAACAAGGAGTACATGCAAATTGTAAAATACTAATCTCAGACCTGCGAAGGTAAATCATTCCCATTCACCTCTTGATTTCTATTTCAAGAAATGTAAAGAATAACTTGTTCAAATTATGTACATGCACGAGGAAGTAACTTTGTCCGCTTCACTGGCAGAACAATATGCATGCCAGATTGCACATACATCACGAGTACAGTGTACTGGTTCCTCAAGTCACATACAGCTATATCTGAGTTTTGGTACTCCTAAAGCTCGCATTTTAGGGGAAATTCAGAATTGGCTTCTTCACAATCTATTTCCATAAATCTGACAAAATCTTTTGGGAGATTCACTATTATACCCAATATAGGAGCCCAAATTATAAAAAACCCTTATTGAAATGGACTTTAGAAACACACCCAAAGCCCATTTACAACATAACAAAAAGGCTTTTAACTTCTTTTTTACTACAAAACTGCCATTGATTTCTTAAAACAAACCCAACCCCAAAACCTCATAAAAAAGCCCAAAACACTCAATAGGGAATCAAAGTAATTTAATAATCAAAATTAAATTCAATAGGGCCAGCTATCATTTTTTGGGTTTTTTTTGGGTTTGTTTATAGAAATTAAATGGAGTAGGGTTTATCTATATTATTAGTGCTAAGAATGGTAATGGGTATATGACTAAATATCTCAAATCTTTTTGCCTTGCTAATGCTTAAAAATTGTATGCCTAGTGAAGCTTAGACATGGACAATACTTCTAATGACTGGCACCACCTAGAAGCTCCTCTACCCCCACAAAACAAAAAAAATATACCAAAATCCCAGAGGTATTAGTTATATACCAAAACATACCAAGTGAACTGGGTTAGTGATCTTCCATTCTGCAATTCCAGTACGAATATAGGTATTCCTGCTCACATACAGACCTGAGATGTGAAAAACAAATAAATCTTATTGAGAGTATTTTCACATTGGAAAAATATCATCAATGTGTATAGGGTCTACAATCTAGATATAGACTGCTGAGATTTTAACAAAAGGAAAAAGGGAGGGGAAACAAATGCATCTTATTCTTACCATCAGTGCGAATCCTTGGTCTTAGAAGCCACATTTTTCTCCATGAAGTGTCGTACTTTGCTTGTAGAATCTTATAGTTTTCAACCACTCCAGAGAGCTTAAGAAGAGATGCCCCAGTTTTAAATCCAATACTTACATACAGTAACATTTAAACTGGATCAAACTTTAAAGCCAACACCATTATACCTGCCAAGCCTTTAAGCATGCAATGCGCCAAAAAACAGGGTTGCGAATAGTGTATCTCCATTTGCGACAAACACAAGCTGCCCTTCCCAAGTCATGTGGACTCATTCGTGCAAAAACCTGCATATGAATATTCTAATCTTTAACCAAAGACCTGCACTTCCCAAAAGTATTTGTATATTCTAATTTATTTGCATATAACCAAAATATGGAATGCAACATGGTACTCAATCTCCTATTCCAGTTGTCTGTCCCAAAATGATCCAGAATCCATGAAACATCAATTCTTAAGCACTCTTAATATTTCATGCTCTGGTACCAGGAATGAATACTTCCGAAGTAGAAGAAAGTAATTATAACACCTATAGTTTGAGCAAAAAATAATTTGAAACATTTATTAGTCACATCCCTTGTTCTATATTTTTCTCAAAAACCAAGCAGAATGTAATGGATGAAGAATGCAAAGGAATATTGTAATCACATCATCGCTAACAATGTCTTTGTGTTAAAGACTCGACCAAAGTTTTAACTAGCTATTTCAACACAGTTATTACCTCATAGAGCAGCTCATCTGGCAACGTACGGTGCAACAGAGCTGGATCAACATGTACTTTTCTACTCGTACTTCCAACTGGTGCAACAGGTCTCACGTTGATTCCATAAAGATCTGAAACAGAAAACCAGGGAACAATAAGATATCATAGAAAATCTACATCAATAACTAAATTTATACCTGACACGCACACATGCACAACACAAGCACATGTATGTGTGTGCTCAGGGCAGCTTAATTTGAAAGCGGCATGAAAGAAACATGAAATTAACAAACATACCAAGCCAGGGCCTCTTAGTTATATAGTACTGAACGGTGTTCAACCGCAAAGCCGATTCAAGTTCAGCTGGAACTTTGAAAGCAAAATCTGCAAGAGATAAACCATTAATTCAAATCAAATTAACCAACGCAGACATTACTTGGTCAAAGCAAATTTTTTAACTTATCTGTCGAATTCAAACCAAAATTGAACTTCAAAAACTTGCAATTCCATTTGTTTTCCAAATTCACAACAAACAAATTAGTGGTGAATGAATTCCAACTCCAATTCGTTTTAAACATTTCTAAGAACGCAGACCACAACGCATATTCGACTAATAAACACTACCCAGAACTTGAAACCTCATAATTTATACAATAATTCCCAAAATTCAATATCGAAATCATAATTTTCCGCACAATTATACAAAAAGTATATCATTTGCAACAACAAAAAAAAGCGCGAAAATTCGACCGTTGACGAGTCCAATAGAAGATCACAAAATTGAAGCTTTAAGAGGTGAATAAGATACCTGAAGCCATGACAATGAAGGCTGGTTCTTTCCTCCGGGCAAAAATGAAGCCTTTGCTGCCGATTTTCTCGGGAAAATGAGGGAAAAACAGGAACGACAGAGGACGAAGATGGAGCGAAGGACTTAGGTGATATACGACCGTTTTTTTTAACCGACTTTAAAAAAATTTGACCCATCAACCACTGGGCCCAGCTTCGGCCCAATTTTCATTTGCCGATATGAACCTTTCCCAATTTCTGGGTGATGTTCATTCTAACTTCTAAAACCCGTAGGAACTGTACTAAAACCTGTGGTAATAATTCATTTGTTTTGAATTTTAATACACAAATGAATGGATGTTTCATTCTCATCTATACTTTCAATTCATGGAGACAGAAAAATGAAGAGCACGTTATTGGGACTCCAAAATAGTCCGTCAGTTATTGGCACTCCAAAATAGTCCATCAATAATTATTTAGTCTAGCGGCACCTTTCCCTTGTTGAAAGAGATTAAGAGTTCAAATAGCATTTTTTGCAAGAGACTTATAACTCGAGTGGTTAAGACTAATTATCCATGCACGATAAAAAATAAAGAAATTGGCAAGTAATGGCTCAAATAGTTGAAAGCATTTACCCTGCTCAAAGAAAACGATCATAGCATTAGCAAACCAAACAACCAAACTGAAAGCATAACAGCTGTTTAGGCTGTTTAGGCTTGATGTTCAGTGAACTCAACCTGCATCTAACCACTACATTGGCAATGGCACAAGAGGAGGGCTCTTCATGCTTCTCAAACCCCTGCCATTTCTTGCACTACAGTTGCAGCTAGACGCAAGTTGATCAGACAATTGTGATGGCCACCTATTATTAGAAAACATACAGCTTCTTCGACGTAAAACCAAGCTACAAAGAGCATCAGGTGACTACAAATTTCTTTTAGGGATTTGCGTTTTTGTGGAACTCCATAATCCAGCTGTTGTAAGCATTGCAAATGACTTCACATGAAGAGAATCCAGATTTTACTGCTAAGTCCTCGTATTCATGTTTGGTCCTCTCTTTCCCTCCGGGGTTTACTGTTAGCATGAGTAAGTCCTGCTCGCAGACAATGTTCGATGTAACGCTACTGTCAGGAATGTCGGGAAGAATTGATTCCACAATGATAACTTTTCCAGAGCTGGGAAGAGCTTTGCAACAGTTCTTGAGAAGTGTCAAGCAATGCTCATCACTCCAATCATGAAGTATCCACTGCAAGTTTCATCAACAAAGTCAACACAACAATCAAGATAAAAACATTTGAAGTTTTATGAGGCCAAATTATATCCATTTGGGCTAAATGAGACTAAAACAACAGCCTACAGCCTACGCCAGAGAAAAAAGGAATTTCATCTACAGCTTCTTCCTAAATATATATCAGGGGAGAATATTAGTGGTCACATTCATGGCCATAGACTCTAGTTCTTGATGGGTTTCTCAATGTGTAATCTAAATCAGCACATAATTATCATTTTGATGATAATCACCCAGGACTTCACTCAAAAGTAGTGGCTTCAAATGCAACTGAAAATTGAAGTGCAATGTAAAGACAACATGAAGAAGATCTTTATATGCCCAGTGCACTTAAGTATGCAAACAAATACAGTGATTTTGGAAATTTACTGTCAACTAAATGATGGATAATAGCAAGAACACAGAGGCCTTACCTTCATGAATATAGCATCTCCTTGTGGAACACTTACAAACATATCTCCCCCAACATGCTCCACACCTGCACAATGACAAACCTTTCATTAAGTTTTTATACGAGCAGCACGAAATTGATAAGAAACATAGGTTGCAGTTAAGCATCGATGCATAATCAAATCATGTAGAACACTGCCAACGCACGTTCCAATACCAAGAAATAATTCAGTACCTGGATAAGAAGGAGCATCAGCTAAAACGTGTGGCAAGTCAAAATTAATGCCCTTAATGTGGGGGTACTTGGTGGTGATCAAATTGAGAGTGACACCGATTCCACCCCCCACGTCGACCAACACGTGGAGGCCTTCAAACCCTTTATAAACATCAAATATCTTCTTCAAGATTAAGGTAGTGTGGTTTGACATGGCCTGGTTGAATACCCGATTGAACCTCTCATCTGTTCCTGGATACTCAAAGGCTGTCATTCCATAAGCCCTGTTAAATGGAATTCCGCCTTCTAATACAGCATCATTGAAGTGGAACCTGGAAGTCACAAATAATTGGTATGCCAAAGTATCCACATAAAAACACAAATTTTATCAAACACACAGCTAACTTGAAGTGTTAGCATTACTTGATGATACTAAACAACAAATTCATGGTCTAAAACAGTGAATCTAGTTACATTCCAGACCATAGAACATTCCCAGCACAACAGCAACATCAAACACAAAACATTCTAGCAAAATTCGAAGCCAGTAGCCACCCAACAAAAAAATTAATCAACCCACTAAGCAAGATTCACAGCACTCCCAAATCCCAACCAACCCAAAAGCCAAATTGAAAACATCACCACCTCTCCATGAAGATCTTATCATGGTGCAGCAGAAACAAAGGAACATAAAATATTCCCAACACAACAGCAACATCAAACACAAAACATTCAAGTTTATATTGAAAATTAGTAGCTACCCAACAACAAAATTAATCAACACACTAAGAAAAATTAATAACAACACCCCCAAATCCCAACAAACCTAAAAGCCAACTTGAAACATACCAGCTCTCCATGAAGACCTTATCATGATGCAGCAGAAGCAAAGGCCCAACAGACCCAACTCCACCATGCTGATCCTTGACAAGAAACTTGCATAGAGCTCCAGCACCATACAGCCTCTCCACCTTCCCATCTTGGCCGGTTCGAACCGAGCATTTGAGAATAGAATGGCTTGTCAAAAGCCTCAGCATCCGGTCCAGCAGAACCGGGGCGTTTGGGTTCTTGGTGGGAAGGCTAGCCGCAATCTCAGAAGGTGAGAGGAACTTGCCATCCCCTGCAGCGCAGATGATGTCTATGATGTTGAGTTCAATGGCTGACTTTAGAACCATTGGTAGGATCACCGCATTGGCTAATCTTATAGCCAGCTTGCCCACTTCTTCTTCTTCCTTTTCTTCTTCTTGTTGCTGAGACATTGGGTTTGTGTTGGTTTTCTCAGAGATTCTGCTACTCATTTTTGGAAGCTGATGATTGATATCTCACCGACTCACTCTGTTTCAAGTCCTTGTGACTAGTACTTTGACCAAAACAAGTGCTAATATACTATCTGGTGAAACAACACGTGTTATTCTTTCTAAGATTTTCTTTTTTGGTATGATTTTTGTTTTTCAAACAATTAACCAAAGTGTGAACCAAAAAAGAAAAAAAACAAATTAACCAAAGTGTTAACCAAACCATCATCTCATTCTTTTGCTCAATTTTTTCTCCTCATTAACACAACTTTTTTTTAGGAGCTTCTCCACTAAGGATTTTTAAGTTAATGAGACTTTTAATCTCAGTCATCCATTAGATATGTTAGTGGATTTAATATGCATTATACATGCAATCAAATGACTAAAATTAGAAATCTTTAACCAATTTTAACATAAACTCCTTAATAGAGCATTTTTTCTTTTTTTAATCCAACAATTATAATTTATGAGCTAAAAAGCTCAGAATTTTTTATGATGAACTGAAGATTGAGTGTCACTATACTAATTACTAAATTGTTATTAGCAAGAATGACACAACGTACTCTTATTTTTCTTTGTGTTAATGAAGTTGGATTTTCTAGTTAGAAGAGGGCCTTGAGTTGAGTTGCTCATATGTTGATTGATGATTAAATAAAAACTCAGACATGCTTTAACAAAATAGAAACTAAATGCAGGCTAAGAAACAATAGTGGTTCATGCCATTCCTTTGCTCTTTAAACAATTGTGCAACTATGCCTTTCTTTCTAACAACTCCCTCATTCTTTTTTGCTAACCAAATACTGTTAACAGTATAAGGAAGAAGAATTGAGGCTGAAGGAAGAAGAAGAATATTGAAGAAGAACTCAGAAATAAGAGAGAATTTGCTTTATTGAATTTTCAATCGTATGAACAATTACAGAGAGATAGATCTGTTATATCAGATGTTTACTAACTAATTACAGCTGTAAACAAACTAACTAACAGCTGTAACTACAGCTGTAACATGTGAACCACACGTGCCAACACTAACAAACTCTTAGCTAACTATTACTGTTATCATTCCCCCTCAAATCGAGCTCTAGGTTGCCCAGCCTCATGTTTGCACAATGGCTCAAGAAAACAGGACTATGTAGTCCTTTAGTAAAGACATCAGCTAGTTGTTCTTCAGTAGGAATATACTGGACAGTAAGATCATTCCTTTGCACCCTTTCGCGCACGAAATGAAAATCAATGTCGAGGTGCTTGATGCGTGAGTGATATATAGGATTAGAACTAAGAGCCAATGCAGACAAATTATCACATGAAATTGTAGGAGGCTCAGGTAAACATACTTTCAAATCCAACAAGACTTGTTGAACCTAAGCTAAATCTACAGCTGTATTGGCCAATGCCCTATACTCTGCTTCAGTCGAACTTCTAGACACAGATCCCTGCTTTTTAGACTGCCAAGAAATAGGATTATTTCCAAGAAATACCACAAATCCTGTGGTAGACCTGCGTGTATTCAAGTCTCCAGCCCAGTCTGCATCACTATAGGCTTGCAGATGCCAAGGGCCTGTAGTGAAGTGAATGCCATACTGTATGGTACCTTGAATATACCTCAAGATACGTTTGACCAAATCAAAATGTGCTTCTGTAGGTGTAGTCATATACTGACACACAGTATTGACAGAATATGACAAATCAGGCCTTGTGAAGGTCAAATACTGTAAAGCACCAACAAGACTTCGATATTTGCAATTTTGGTGTTACAGGGCTACAATCTCTTTGGACATCTTGATGGCTCTGTGACTGCTCCTCCGAAATTTGCAATTTTGGATGAGGAAGGTGTTACTTCTGAAGTCACCGCTGCTTACAAAGACTGGCTGCGCACTGATAAAGCTCTCCTAAGTCTGCTGATTGTCTCTCTCTCCGATGAAGCTCTTGAGTATGTCATTGGAAGTCGCATTGCTCATGAGGCATGGCTTAATCTTACGGATCGCTATGCTTCAGTTTCTCGAGCACGTATCAACCACTTGAAGACTGAAATGCAGACAGCGCAGAAGGGTGGTGACTCGATTGAACGATTCCTTCTTCGTTTGAAGCATATTCGTGATCAATTGCATTCTGCTGGTGTGAAGATTTCTGATGACGATTTTGTCATCGCTGCTCTCAACGGTTTGCCGCCGGAATATGATATCATCAAAACTGTGTTAATTGCTCGAGATACTTCCCTTTCTCTTAAAGACTTCCGCGCTCAACTTCTTGTTGCTGAGCAAACCGCTGAGGCTAGGGTTGTGACCCATTCTGCAATGTTTACTTCTCAATCTGTTCCTAGGTCTGCAAGCTATGGTCCTTCGTCTGGTCAAGGTTTGCTTCCTACACCGGTGCAGGGTCCGGTTGGCTAACCTGGCTCTGATACCATGAAGGAAGTTGAGGTTCCACTCCAAAACCAGTTGGCAATGGGGGGAGTAGCTCAACTCCTTATAAGCCCTTGCTAGGTTTCTCAACTTTCCAATGTGGAACTCTTTACCTTCACATTCTCACACGCCCCCGCACGTGTGGCGAATTTTCAAGCCTAGCACATGGACAACACATATTGGGTGACGTGGAGCACGTGTGGCCGTTGGGCTTTCACACGTGGGCTAACCCGCTCTGATACCATGTTAACAGTATAAGGAAGAAGAATTGAGGCTGAAGGAAGAAGAAGAATATTGAAGAATAACTCAGAAATAAGAGAGAATTTGCTTTATTGAATTTTCAATCGTATGAACAATTACAGAGAGATAGATCTGTTATATCAGATGTTTACTAACTAATTACAGCTGTAGACAAACTAACTAACAGCTGTAACTACAGCTGTAACATGTGAACCACACGTGCCAACACTAACAAACTCTTAGCTAACTATTACTGTTATCAAATACCACGTTCTCTATAAACAATGAACCAAAGTCCCATTTCTTGCCAACCAAATACATAAGCACCCACTTTCTCTATGCACAATTATTAATAGTCGTCCAAATGCTCATATAGGCTGACAAAAAGATTTTTTTTTCTTCATGTTCATAAAACTTGCACTCAATCTTGCTAACCAAACCTCAAACACACACGTTTTTCACTAACCAACCATTCAACTCATGATTCTTCTTGGAAGTCACAAACACCGTTCCACTTGCTTCCCCAATTTCTGGGTCGGCTTTTTTCTTCTCTCTTCTCAGAATGCCTCTCTCAGCCCAGGCCTTAAAAGAGAAGCAAAAAGAAAAAATAAACAGCCCATTTTGGGTTGATACAAAGCCCAATTGAAACCCATACGAACTTGACAAGCTAAGTAAGTCTAAGTTCTTTTTAGGCCTTAAGAATTTTGTGCCAACTGACCCAATGCGTTGCCGTGATGCACGGTAAAATGACTCTAGAGGAATTCTTAATTTTTAATTTTTAATAGTTGTCTTAATAGTGCCTAATGGTCCATTTGATAACCATTTTATTCTTCATTTTTAATTTTCATTTTTTGTGCTAGAGTATAGAGGAAAATGAGAGTGAAGATGAGATTGAAAGAGAGGATGGGAGGGAGGAGTAACAAAAGTGAAAACAATTTCAAATAGATTTCAATTTTTAATTTTAGTTTTCACTTTTATTACTCCTCCCTCCTATCCTCCCCTCTCATGTTCCCTCTCAATCTCATGTTTACTCTTATTCTCACTTCAATTCTCCCTCTTTTAAATATACACTCTAACACAAAAATGAACACTAAAAACTAAAATTGAAATGGTTATCAAACAAGCCTAAGTTTCTTCAAATAAATTTTCATGTAAAACTCCTTTAAACGTAGTGTCTTGCCATTGAGAAAAAGAAGAAGTGTGATTTACCTTTGTGTTCAGACTCGAAAAATAAAAAAATTCTTTATGTGTGAGTAGCATACATAAACCTCATTTTTTATTTTTGCTCAAGATTCTAAGCGAAGAATTTGTATGTAACGGAATGTAGACTCATTTCTTTATGTCTTTCGTTCTTCACACATAGGAGTGAGAGGGAGAAAGGAGAGGAGAGAGAGATATAAAACCTAATTTTTCTCCTAAAATGGACTGATAACTAATGTGTCGTGTATAAAAAGGGTGAAGATATGCATCAGTTATATTAGGCTTTATCTCTGTACGATTGTCTCCCAATGTCAGAGAGGTGCTTAAGCATGACGTGACCGTAGGAGAAGAAAATTTATCACACGTTTGTGAAATGTGCTAGCTTGCTAGGGCCACTAGCCATTATTAGGTCTTTCACCTCCAGATTCGTTTGAATATTTGTTGCGTGGAAGAAGGGATGATGAACATTATTAGCCATATGTTAGAAAATGAGCATGAAAACGAAATCCTCAAAGTCGGTGACAAATAAGGGAGTGACAGCATGAACTGTGTGACAAGGATCCTCGTCACACTGTTTCCAGAAATGAAAAATGTCTGCAACACACATTTTCCATAATTAGTCGAAGCTCTTGTGCATATAATTCCATGTGAAGCGTTTATGAAAAGAGAGAGTTTTTAGTGTGACGATCACATAGACCCGTGTTTCCACGGTTGCATGTCGAAAATTCAAATATTTCTTGTATAAAGAAACCTATTGTATGCGTGTTTCTCTGGGGAGTAATTGAGTCATTTTGTAACTTCAAAAGCCACTTTTGTTTATTTTTTATCAACCACGCTATAGATGTTTACATGAAAACAACTTCCGACAATGACTCTTATTGTAACATAAATATTGTGCTAGAATGTCTATTTAGTTGAAAGGAGCTCTTGGCCTTACCCTCCTTCAAAATAGGAAATTTGTCACATTTGTGTTCTTAAAGATGTTAGGTAGGTAGCATCCGCGTACTCATGCAAAGTTTTTGAGTTCGTGTCCTCTTGATATTTGTGTAGTGTATGTGAGTTTAGTATATTATTAACCGTCTCAATAGTAAATGTTCTCCAAAAAAAAAAAAGATAGGTAGGGCTTTTTCATATAACTAGTTTTCATGTGTTCAAAAGGGTAGCTTTCAAGTTCAAGTGTGAATGTACTACCGTCACGTGAGATTATTAATTCACGTATCACAACATGAATGAATAATTTTACACTTTAAAGAATAATACTAATAAAATATACGTATATTAACATTTTCCCTCTTTCTACCACTTTGGTCCAAAGGTAGTTTCAATTTTTCAATTTTATTGTTATCGTTTTCAATTTCATTAGTTTTATTTTTATATTTTTCAATTTAGAGCAATTCAAGAACAAATTTAGTTTTTATAATTTTGACCACTTGCCCCCTCACGCAAACGGGTATTTTCATCTACTCATGCCGAAAAGAGAGACGGAGGGAGGAGAAATAGAAACGGAGGAAAAACGAGGTAAGAGTGGCACGGTACTGTCGAGACTTTTTTTTTCATGTTTTAATTTTTATTTTATTTTAAAAGGCAAAATTGGAAGTCAATTTACATCTATACGAAGAGCTTCAATTTTCTTTTTTTAAAAATCAAGTGGAAAACTTTGAATGGAAGTAACATGTGTTGAAGTGAGTCTCCTAATTAATCAAGGAGATTTATTTCCTTGATTAATTAAGGGATTTACTTTCTTATTTTATAGATTTATTTCCTTGGTTAATTAAGGGATTTACTTTCCTATTTTATATAGTTGTCAAATCATTGTATAATTAGGAGATATTTTCCTAATTCCTTACTAGATCTAATTCCTTGTAAAGCACTCATGTAAACTCTTATATATACCTCCTTATGGAGAAGAATAAAGAAGAACCTAACATATTCAAACTCATATTCATATTTTAGCATGGTATCAGAGCAATCGTTTCTCGGTTGTCTCTAAATTCTCATATCAAAATTTCTCCTCCCCTCCTCTTCAAGGGGGGGAGGGGAAGTGAAAAAGGATCTATTTCTCTTTCTCATGGAGATTTTGCCTCTTTTTTGACTCCGACATACCCTTCTCTTCAGGGGAAGAAGAGAATTGAAGAGAAATTTCTATGTTCTTAAGCCGTGTTCGCAGGGTTTCTGTGTCCTTTAGTCGTGTTCACAGGGTTTCTATGTTCCTTAGCCGTGTTCGCAGGGTTTCTGTGTTCCTTAGCCGTGTTCACAGGGTTTCTGTGTCCTTTAGCCGTGTTCACAGGGTTTCTGTGTTCTCTAAATCCTCGTATCATCGTATCGTATTCCTCATATCCGCGTATCCTAAATCGAATTCCTTGTATCGAATCCCTCGTATCAAATCCCTCGTATCGAATCCCTCGTATCGAATTCCTCGTATCGAATCCCTCGTATCAAATTCCTCATATTTTCATATTCTGATTCAGATCTTCATACCCACATCCTCATATACTTTTATCCCGAAACCCTAAACACATCTTTTTTTTCTTATTTTTAAATCCTTCCGCTGCCATGGATATCGTATCCAAATCCAAATCCAAATCCAAATCTGAATCCGAATCCGAATCCCAACTGCAACACCAGAGGAAAACGATCAGTTCTCTCCACGCTGTCAAAATCAGGAGGAGGAAATTGAACCGTCTTATGAGATTTGTTCCGCTTCAGTCATCTCCCTACCATCACACTCATGAGGAGAAAATTGAGGAGTTTGTGCCCGCTCTGGAGAATTCTTCAGCTCCAGTACCACACCATTCAGAAGGCACAGAGCCTGCATATCAGATTCTAAAAAAAGGAAGAATCGTGGTAAACCTCCAGTTCACTACGAAGAAGATCTTAATGCAAATGGAAAATATCTCATAAACAATTATGTATCCCTCAACAGATTATCAGAGTCACGGGTACACTTTGTGAAGCAGTTAGCCGACATACATGTTCCCAATAGTGTAATTGAAGCACTGGAAGACCAAAAAATGGAAAGAAGTCAAGAATGAAGAAATGCGAGCTCTCCAGAAGAATGGCACATGGGCACAGTGTGTCTCATAGGAATGCAATTGATCGAATCTTAAGGTACTTAAAGTTAACCCTTGGAAAAAGATTAATGTTCTCAAAAATTCGCATGGATTATCAACTTGGGTGCTACAAATTTCATGACTCACTTATCAAGTTGGGCATTTGTGACGTATATGCACCAACTTGAGAAGGAATGTTGAAGTGAGTCTCCTAATTAGTCAAGGAGATTTATTTCCTTGATTAATTAAGGGATTTACTTTCTTATTTTATAAATTTATTTCCTTGGTTAATTAAGGGATTTACTTTCCTATTTTATATAATTGTCAAATCATTGTATAATTAGGAGATATTTTCCTAATTCCTTACTAGATCTAATTCCTTGTAAAGCACTCATGTAAACTCTTATATATACCTCCTTATGGAGAAGAATAAAGAAGAACCTAACATATTCAATGCCATATTCATATTTTAGCATATTTAACATCTGTTGTTCGTTT